TCTCAACTTATAATATATGCATATTTTTTATCCCTCAACTTAAATTTGAGAAACTAAAAATATATAAATTTAAATAAATTTAACAGATTAACTGACGAAATGATTAAAAAATACATTTTTAATAGTTAAGAGATAAAAAAAATACATAAAAATTTGAAAAATGAAAATTATGCAAAACTTTAAAATTGAGGGGCCAAAATTAACATTTAACCTTTTTTTTAACAAGAATATATTTTAAAAAAATTTAAACCAAACACTTAAAATTAAAATATACCTTTCTTAATATTTATAAGTAATGCGGCTTTTAGGTTAAGTGCAAAGATGGTTAAAATCCTTAAAATGGAAAAAAAAAAAAAAAAAGCAGCCGTACAGAATGGAAGCATTTTAGAAATCCGTGCAGGCCGCAAATGGAAAAATATTTTTGGTTAAATGTTAATTTTGATCATCAATTTTAAGATTTTACATAATTTTACATAATTTTCATCTTTTAATTTTTTTATACATTTTTTTTATTTTTCAACTATAAAAATACATTTTTTTTTAATTTTTTCGTCAGTTAATTTATTAATTTTATTTAAATATATATATTTTTATTCCCTTAATTAAAAACTGAAGGATGAAAAATATTCATATATTAGAGGTTAAGAGACTAAACATATGCATATTTAGATAAATTTAACATATGAACCTTAATAAATTTAACAAGAAAAGATGAAAAATATATATTTTTCCATAATTGAGGAATCAAAAAAGTGTTTAAAAACTTGAGGGATGAAAATTATACAAAACTTTAAAGTTGAGGAACCAAAATGGACATTTAACCAATATTTTTTTCTTTTTCTTTTTTAATTTTATGCTCTTGACTCTTCTTTCCGTACTAATATCAGTGTGTGATGGGTTTTCATCAATCATGATGCAGTCGCCGAACAAAGGAAGCCCATGTGTACCCGCCTTTGTAAAAGTGAGGGCATTTTTGTCTTTTTGGTGCGACGGGATTTCAGCCTTGTGTGTATTTCATTTGATCATCGCTATGTGTATGATAATATTACCGCTGAATGCCTCAACTTGTTGATTTAGCTTAATTTTGACCCTCCAACGTTTTTCAGCCTCTAAGTGGTTCTTGAACTTAATTTTCTTTAGTTGTAAAATAGTTCTTTGGTTAATAAGATGATGACGAGCCATGTTAATGTATGTAAAGTCAAACAAAAAAAATTTGGATTCTTTAAAATTGCAATATTATGTGAAATTTTTTAAATAAAAAATTTGTTTATATGAACATACTTAATGCACAAAAATTAATTTATATAATGAAATTACCATCCATTTTCCCATTTTAATTGATCAATTTGTTTGCCTTCTTTGTAAGTTCCAATCTTGATTTAAATTCGATTTTTAAAATTAATTTTTAGGATTCAAGTTTTTATTTTCTACTTAGATTTTTAGATCTTTTGGATTTGTCACCAATACCCTTCTTCAAGATCTCCTTAGTTCTATCAAGGCCATTCCATAATGGTTTTATCCGACATCAATAACAACTTAGTTGATTTAGCCAAAGATCCTCTTTGGTGTTAGATTTATATAATAATTCTTTTTTTAACTTATTTGAGGTGCAAGATATGTTGAAGAATGACCCATCAAAGTTGATGGAGAGAAAGAATTATGAGCATAATGTAAACAATATATTCAATAAATAACAGTTCTAAATTGACTAACTTTCTGTCATTATTGTCAAGAAATTGATGTAGTATGAGCAAATTTCCCAAAAGTTTCTATCTTGTTTTGTTACCTTTGTATGACAATAAGAGCATGTTTGGTGAAATTTATAAGTGTTTTAACTTTTTTGATACTATTCATGTTTCATAAGTTTAAATTTTTACTGGAGGGAAGATTTAAAAGTTATTTTTAGAAAAAATAAAAAGTGAGTAAAAATGAAGTTTTCAAAAAGCAAAAGTTTAAAAAATTTTAAAATTTACTATTTAAAATCTTTTTAAAGTTAAAAAAAATAAAAAAAATAAAAGTTTTTAAGGGAAAAATTTAAACTTATGAAACATATGAATAATGTTAAAAAAGTTAAAACACTTAGAAGTTGAACCAAACATACTCTAAAACTACAAGAAAAGTAAGGTTGTGCAATACCAAAAGCTTTGGAACAAAAAACATGAATGGTTACCTCTGTCTTCCATTATTGAAAAGACCATTTTGGAACAAAAAATAAATTTAAGGACTATTATTTGAAAACTATTATTTTTAAAAGGACCAAAACAAGACAAATTTTTTTGATGGGAAAATAAGACAAAACTAACAAATTGGGAGATCGAATCAATCCAACATAAACCTATAAACCTATAATATTCTTATGTGGTGTTTTCAAAAAAGAAAAAAATAAATAAAAAAGATATTCTATGTGGTTGCAACGTGTGTATCGAAAACAATGCGATTGCAAGTTTACAAGTGTGATTCATCGGAGATGATCTGATTCAGACGTTCACGGTAGCGGAACCTGAACCAAGCTACGGGACCCAGAAACCGTCGTTGATAAGATGGAATGTGCTCGAATTGATAGTTGATGCTGCATCAACAGTTGTAATGGGAATCGTGGAAAAGAAGCACACGCACAGCGCAAAGGGCCAAAAAGGTGGTGAATTGGCGGGCCAGTCAAGGAATCATTGTGCTTTCAAAGCTACACGATTGCAATTACAAAAACAAGGATACTCACTTGAAAAATAATCGGGAGGTAATTTTTTAAATAATTTTAATATATTTTATATATTATTTAATAATTTTTATTAGATTTTAATATAATTTTTAACTTTTTAAATATAAAATTTATATAAAAATTTAGCATATTATATAAGTAATAATTAAAAATTTTTTAATTATATAAAAAAATTAATTATTATTTACATAAATTATTAAAATTTTACCTAAAATTTATATTGAGAAGATTAGAAAAATAGCACCTGGGCCAAGTTACCTTTGACTATCTTAAGGTGCACCTTTTTTCTCCTTGAACGGGTTTTAATTCATCCTATGATAACATTGTTAAAAAAAATAAAAAAAAATTTACATAATATTATATTAAAAAAATTATTCTGGTATCATTACCCCCATCCCCACTCACCACCCCGCAAAACAAAAATAATTGTTTTCTAGAGGACCCCAGAGAAAAAGCAGATTTTTGTTTTTTTTTTATTAAAGGGGGGAATTGCCAGAGAAATGGTCAAAATCAGCTTTAATAAAAGAGGCCGGGGCTCAATCCCTTCGGCTTTGCATCCCACATCAGAAAGGGGGATAATCATTTTCTAAAGCTTCCTGGTTCCATTCCCTTTTCTATCTTCCTTTTTGTTCTTTTGGCAATCGATAAAGGAGAAGTCTCATGGATACTTTTTTTTTAATATATATATATACAATAAGGGTTAATTATTCATTATTGTAGGGGTTTAAAGCTCTGAAATTGATTCATAATCAAGATTTTTATATTATTAAGTATTAATTAAGTCAAACTTTTATTGGTCATGAATACCCTTTTCATTATTAGAAAAAGAAAAAATGACAATCTCACAAAGAAAGAATATAACATGAAAGGATGTATAAATTCCATTCATTTTCTAAATGTTCTGCTCGAACAAGAGATTCACAATAATAAAGCTTAGGTCGTAGTTTGGAATCCATATAGACAATGCATGTGTCTCTTGCTAATTGCTCTCGTATTCAATTTGAGAATTATGTTATTCTTTTTTCCGTGAACATGAATATTCTAACATTTTATATTGATTAATTTTACTAGCTAGTATTTGCAGACTCTATAGATATCATGAAAATTTAATTTTAAATTTTTGGTTTGCAATTAAAGGTTAGGGATTTTAAACTCTTAAATTAATAGCTGCACTGACTCTCTTTATTGATAAACATGGTATTAATATATAAAATCAAAAACAATATGCAATGCAATTCATCCATTTGTATGATTTTTAGCATTTCTTGAAGAGGTGTTATACTTAGAGCATGTTTGGCTTTGTTTGTAAGAGTTTTTATTTTTTTTGTACTGTTTATAAATAATAAATTTAAATTTTTATTGAAAGAAAAATTTAAAAATTGTTTTTAGAGATAGAAAAAAGTTAGTAAAAAATGAGTTTATAAAAAGTTTGGATTTAAAACTTTTGATCTTTTATTGTTTAAGATATTTTTAAGGTTAAAAAAATTTAAAAATATAAGTTTTTAAGAGGAAAATTTAACTTATAAAACATAAATAATATCAAAAAATTGAAACACTTAAAAGCTGAACTAAACATGCCTTAAATAGAATTGGGATATTAAGGTGTTATGGGGAGCTTTGTGCCACGAGATATATGACGAGAAAATGAAAGGTGATAGTTAGTGCATCTTCCTTTCCCATTGTTGTATGTCTTTTTGTTTTTTGG